ATTTGATTTTCGCCACCTGAACGCTTTCTTTTTATATATGCAAAATCCTGCAACTCTTTGATAACTCTCTCAAAGCTACTTGAATGCTTTGTTTAAAACGTACAAAATTTGTTATTTTCAAGCTTTCCGTGGAAGCGAAAAATCGGCCATAACAGGCTTCCTGAAAGTTTTCTATAGCTAGTTATCTACTGTCTCACAATTCTCTAATAGTTATTTCAATACTTCAAAACAACTTTTTGTTCAGCTTAACGTAGCGTAGGATTTTCGACTGGGAGTTTTATGAAATTCATTTTACTGTACTAATTATTGAAAATTACCGTTTTTTGGAACATTTTTTAATCTATTGTACTAATAAATTAAAAATTATACTGTATATGAAATTTGTTCATTTTTTCTAAAATTTTTCAAATATGTACTCAAATATAACGTACCTATAACGGAAGCAACAAAAAAGTTAAAATTGAACTTAAAAAGTGAGTTTTCTCAAAGAGACACTTTCGATTTTTTATTTCTTTTTTGCATTACAATCTCTGATGACTAAAAAATTTTTTCCTCTATCTGCGAAAGTGGTACTTTTAATTTTTAAATTACGTTTTTTAATTTTCTTAGTACGGCTCACAGAATTTAAGCAGTTATTCTACAAATATAACTTTCGTTAATTATCATTCATTTGTTTTTTTTAATTTTCATAAAAACATACTAAAAATCCCCCCACAGCACCGAAACTTTCCTAAAGATTTCCTAAAGATTTATATGAAATGTTCGGAATATTTAATTGCAATGTTTAGTGAAAATTGTGCAAAGAATTAAATGTCCCACTTGAATAAATGTTTAGCGCGAAACTTTCCTGAACATTTAAATAAAATTTTCATGAAAGTTTCACAAAGTTTAACACTAAACATTTATTTAATCGGGACATTTAAATCTCTACACTATTTTTCACTAAACATTGCAATTGAATATTCTGAAAATAAAAAAACAAAAATAATTAATATTAATTCAATAGGAAAAAATTTGATTTTCTAGCATTTTCTTTCTTTTTCAATTACAAAATAGAATAAACCATTACAGGCAAATACACTACACTTTAAATATATTAATTATTTAATAATAAGAGTTTAATTGAGGCTTCAAATTCAAGAATCGGTCGCCCGCTATGGCTAAAACAGTGTGCATGACCGGTTCTTGAATTGGGAGCCTCAATTATCCAATAATATTGCATAAATTGACTCAGAAATGGTGAATTTTTACTTCCCAATATCAATTTTACCAATATTTCAATTATTTTTTGTAATATATTGCTTCCAATCCGAACGAACCGAAACTTAACCGAGCTCAGTCAACTTCTCGGTTTATACAATCCGCCAGGGTATTTACCCCAAAGGACCCCGCACACGCTATAGGGGAAAAAATTTTCCGTCAAATTTTTTTAAACTTTGCAGTTTTGTAGATTATCACCTCCTGAACAAAAAATATTCAGGTCAAAACCTTCAAGAATCAAGTCCTTCTGAGCTACACCATGTTGAAAGCTTAAAAAGTGACAAAAAAACTAAGTTTTAGGCTCATAGCTTGGCTTTGGCGTAAGGCTTGAGTTTGTCTCGAGGCTCATGTTTGCCTCAAGGCTCAGGTTTGGCTCGAGGCTTGGCTTTGGCTCGAGGCTCACGTATGGCTCAAGGCTTAAGTTTGGCTCGAGCCTCACGTTAAGCTCAAGGCTTGAGTTTGGCTCGAGGCTCATGTATGGCTCAAGGCTTGAGTTTGGCTCGAGGCTTGGCTTTGGCTCGAGGCTCACGTTAAGATCAAGGCTTGAGTTTGGCTCTAGGCTTGGCTTTGGCTCGAGGCTCGAGCCAAACTTCAGCCTTGAGCCTAACGTGAGCCTCGAGCCAAACTTAACCCTTGAGCCTAACGTGAGCCTCGAGCCAAAGCCAAGCCTCGAGCCAAACTCAAGCCTTGAGCCAAACGTGAGCTTCGAGCCAAAGCCAAGCCTCGAGCCAAACTCAAGCCTTAAGCCTAACGTGAGCCACGAGCCAAAGCCAAGCCTCGAGCCAAACTCAAGCCTTGAGCCTAACGTGATCCTCGAGCCAAAGCCAAGCCTCGAGCCAAACTTAAGCCTTAAGCCATACATGAGCCTCGAGCCAAACTCAAGCCTTGAGCTTAACGTGAGCCTCGAGCCAAAGCCAAGCCTCGAACCAAACTCAAGCCTTGAGCCATACATGAGCCTCGAGCCAAACTCAAGCCTTGAGCTTAACGTGAGCCTCGAGCCAAACTTAAGCCTTGAGCCATACGTGAGCCTCGAGCCAAAGCCAAGCCTCGAGCCAAACCTGAGCCTTGAGGCAAACATGAGCCTCGAGACAAACTCAAGCCTTAAGCCAAAGCCAAGCTATGAGCCTAAAACTTAGTTTTTTTTGTTACTTTTTAAGCTTTCAACATGGTGTAGCTCAGAAGGACTTGATTCTTGGAGGTTTTGACCTTATTATTTTTTGTTCAGGAGGTGATAATCTACAAAACTGCAAAGTTTAAAAAAATTTGACCGAAAATTTTTTTCCCCTATAGCGTGTGCGGGGTCCTTTTAGGAAATTTTCTAAATCTTGGGGTAAATGGAGACAGTCAGTTTCATGCATTTAAATCTTATTTAAATTTTTTCCTGCTGCATAAAATTAATCTTGGGAATGTTGTATATCCAAATGTTTTAGGATATTTAAAAATGGTGCATATTGTATGAAAGTACAACAAATACAAGGTATCTATTGGTCATAAAGAAATAATTACTGTGTTTTTAATGTGCCCAAAAAAATTCATGGTACTTTTTACAAGCCTCAACTTCTTATATTAATCATAAGTTAAAAAAGCTTAATAAAAGCTTCCTCTAAATAAACTACATCTGTAAAAAAATCACAAAAAAAGGCAGAAAGTCTGATCGGTTTATATTTTCTAATTTAAATTTCGATTGACTAAAGTCAAAAGAAGTGTTTAAAAACAGCTAAGCGAAAGAGATGCGATTTATATAAATTGCACGATATATGTAGAACAGTAAAAACTTTACATACATGTGTTATATGAATAATAACACTTCTTTTAGCACGTTATAGCTTGTGTATAGTGTCAGTCTATCTACTTTAAGCAATTATTACACGAAACTATATTAACAACATCGATTTGTCACTTTACAAACTATTAGGCCTTGAAAAAATAATTTCAGTTTCTTGGAAACTGAAACTTAAAGTAAACAAAGTTTCCCACCACAATTTGATAATTAAACAATTACTAAAAAAAAATATTTATTTGATAGAATAAAATATTTATAAATTTCATAATATAAAAATAGTGACAAATCATTAACAACATAGCAGAAAATTTATGTTTCATTGTAATCAGCTGCTTAATGATTTTTTTAATAATCCAATTAAAAACTTTAAATAAAAATCTTATTCAAAATGAATATATAGTATCACATAATTATCCTCATTTGTAGTTAAATTACATACTGTTAAATTCTACACAATTTATTTTTTAAATTTCACACATTTAAATAGTGCAATGTTAAACTCACACAGAAAAAAACTGAACTCAGAATGAGCCGTGTAGGCGGCTCATTTTGATGTGCAACAAAAATGAACCAGGTTGGTGGCGCCAGTGTCTATGTCGTTTAGCATTGGCTCATTTTGATTTGCAACAAAAATGAGACTAGGTTTTTTCTGTGCAGTGTAAATTTATTTTATAATAAAAAAGAAATTATGTTAAATTCAACACAGTTAAATTTGAGCACTCTTAAATTCCACATCATAAAACTCTACTCAAAATTATTTTGCAATGAAAAATTAAATTTGTTAAGTTGAACACAGTCAAACTCTTAACAAAGTTAATTTATAATAGACAAATTGTAACGAAATTTTTGAAGAGTTTATGATATGGAATGGTGTACAATTTAAAAAATAAATTTTGCAGAGTTTAACAATGAGTCAGTTTAACTGTGTAGAGTTTTAGAAATTTTGTTTTTTATTACAAAATAATTTTGTGAAGAGTTTAACAGGGAGCAATTTAACTATTTAGAATTTTACATAATTAATTTCGGGGTTCGATTCCCTGGATGGGTAGATTTTTTTCGTAAAGAAATGTTCCCATAATATTACTGTAATATTCTCTTGTAATATTACCTTAATATTACTGCAATATTACAGTAACATTACCGGTAATATTACCTTGAGGCGGACATTTTAAGATCACTGTAAGATTACTGTAATATTACAACGTTATATTACAAATCTTACATGTAATATTACCTTGATATTGAGGTTATATTACGTACTTCTTGGGGTAGAATTTAAATGTGTAGTATTTGAACCACCCTATATTCCCCTATAGAAAAAAACTTAAGCTTTTGTTTAAAAAAATCTTGTCTTTCGACAAAAAAGTCAAATTTATTTTCGATTTTTGTTGTTTGTCGCCAAAAAATTTTTTTTTCAAAATGTATTTCACTAATTAGAAGTACGTGAAAAAAGTTATCGAAACTGATATTTAAATTTTTTTGCACTATTATTTAAAAAAATAATTGTAAACGGTACCCCAAAACTTTCACTCCCTGCCCCACAGAAAATATTGGTCTAAATGGAAAAATTTGTTTTCCACGAATTATGGAATTACCATTAAAAAATAGTACAAATTAACCAATTACTCAAGTAATTCATTATTTAATATTTATTTATCTTTTATTTATTTAAGTATTAAATCTTAAATAATAGATGATTAGTAGAGAAAATTAAATGTAAAAATATTAAAATTGAATGAAAGAATTTATTTTTGGATGTGTTTCTTAAATTTAAAATCGACGTGTTCTGTATTCCACTAATCCAGAGATTTGTAGAATAATAAATAATTGTTTACAAAGTTTTGTATGATACTATTGAGCTGCTTATAAAGTATTGTTAAAAATTAAAATTGTTAAATTTTTTTCCCTCTGCATTATTTTAAATATAAAATAATTATCTTTATTTGTAGAAACTTACAAAAATGGATGATTATCTGAGTAGTTTAAAGAAATATTTATAGTTCGGAAATCCTTAAAAATATTGATAACTAATTAAAATTCCGTTGTAATTTAAACCACTTAAATTTACTGCAGAACACAAACTATTTAACACTTATGTTTAGAAATATTACATTAAAGAAAAAATAAAAACATTAGAAGCTAAAGCTTAAGAAATTGAGAAAAAATTTTTTTAAATAAACTGATTAATTGATAATTACATCTAATGTTTTTAAAAAATATAGCATTTAATAAGTGCGTCACATTAAAATTTCTTTGTCACGTTATCAGATAAACTGAAACTCAAGAATGGGAAACATTTACTAAATACAGAACATTCGCAGCATACATATATACCTGGTGACGAGTTCGTCTCTCCCACCTCCTTCATAACAGTAACAGCAAGTACATTAAGTGCACCAAGGTTGTGCTACTATAAATCTGAATCATTAAAAGTTTGTTAATTAAAAAAATCAGATTACTTGACTGATTTAAGAAGAATACGTCGAATTTAAGTACGTAATTCAATTGAGGGTATTTTTTAAATATTTAAACAGATTATTTATGATTATTTTAGGAAAAAAATTAAATTTTTTTTAAGTTGCTGATAAAAATTTAATTAATGTTTTTACATATTTGTTGAATGCCAAAATTTCATACCGAAACTAGGTATAATTAATTCATTAACCATGGTGGGACTTGAGCGTCCCATAGATTTGGCAATATTTTTTTACAATTTTACTGAAAAAAATATATCTAATACCTACAGTAGGTTGCAGTAGGTAAAGAAGAATGTTTCTATACCATCGAAAATCATTATTCAGTGGTTTTAACATTAAAAATATCATAATTGTTAATTGATGACATTACAAATTAAATTTGTGGTAAGTAACTTTTGTTGGATATTATTTTAAATAATTTAGATAATATGTAAAGTCGTGATGGGATTTTTAAATCCAATAACAAAAAATTCGTCAAGTACGAGTTACACTCGCTTACATAGGGTTCCGTTCACGATTATTTAAATTTAAATATTTAAATGTAATATTTTAAAGGGGTTGGCTATATTTTATGTGAAATCTTCACATGAAATTAAATATGTGTACAAAGTTGCAGCTTCTTAGCTCCAAAAATGTAAAAGATAAAGCGCGGAAGGATACGTTTTTTCCGAAATTTCGAGTTTTTGGAATATAACAATATTCAATTCAATTCCAATCGAGTTTTCTATAATTTTCCTTTAAACTCCTTGAAAAATTACGTATGTATACCAAATTTGAACATCCTAGCTCCAAAACTGTAAAAGTTAATGGGAAACACGCTTTTTCCGAAATTTCGAGTTTTTGTACTATAACTATATTAAATTCAATTCCAATCGGGTTCGCTATAATTTTTCTTTAATCTACTTGCAAAAATACGTATGTATACCAAATTTGAACATCCTAGCTCCAAAACTGTAAAAGTTAATGGGAAACACGCTTTTTCCGAAATTTCGAGTTTTTGTACTATAACTATATTAAATTCAATTCCAATCGGGTTCGCTATAATTTTTCTTTAATCTACTTGCAAAAATACGTATGTATACCAAATTTGAGCATCGAAGCTCCAAAACTGTGAAAGTTAAGGGGGGACACACTTTTTACCGAAATTTCATGTTTTTGTACTATAACTATATTAAATTCAATGCCAATCGGGTTCGCTATAATTTTCCTTTAATCTACTCGCAAAAATACGTACGTATATCAAATTTGAGCATCGTAGCTACAAAACTGTGAAAGTTAAGGGGGGGGACACTTTTTTCCGAAATTTCATGTTTTTGTACTATAGCTATATTAAATTCAATTCCAATCGGGTTCGCTATAATTTTCCTTTAACCTACTCGCAAAAATACGTATGTATACCAAATTTGAGCCCAATTGGTTAAAATGGCTAGATTTTAGAGGGGGGACAAGATTTTGTGAAAGGACATGAGTGAAACCATAAGGGTTCCGTTTCAGTTCACTCCCGTGTGGAAAAGTGACATGGGGCCAAGCTGGGACCCAGGTGGGCTTCCCAGTTTTTAAGTGGGGCCCAGGTGGGAAGGCCCAGGTTGGCGATTCCTCAGTTTTGAAACGGTCAGCCCAGGCATAGCCCTCCTGGGAAGAATCCCAGGTGGGGCCCAGCTGGGTTGCCCTGTTATGGCCCATGAATTGAAAAATATTATATTTTAATTAATTATTTTAAATAAAACAACTCATTGTTTGAAATTATTATTGTTATTATTTATTATATAATAATGTAAAATTATTAATTTACTACAAAATACTATAATGATATAAATAAAAATTTATAATAATTGAAAATTTTATTTTAATTTTTTTTCTCTCTCTCCTTGCGCCCTCCTTCCCAATCTCTCACTCCTAACAATGTACTCCCCATTGCTTCTATCACTACTTTTTCAGTACTTTTTTTTGATAATTCGGATATAGTGTGGCTAGCTATTACAGATTCTGAAATATAACATATAAATATATTATTATTAGTATTACATTAGGATTAATAGGATAAAAAATAAAATAGGATTAATAATATTATAATAATAATAGGCGTTCTTACCAGTGATACATTGGTGGATTCTATAATCCTTTAAGATATATTTATCATCTTTTTTTTAAATATTTGTAAATTTCGCTGCGAGGTCTTTTGAAAAATATTTTTTAAAAATATTTAAAATTGTTTTGCTAATATTAAATTCCTTGTCAAACAGAAAAAACAACGATGATGTCTGTAAACAATTTTTAATATAAATAATAGGATATTATATTATTTATTTGAGGTCATGTTGCATGTCCGTGAATTTTTGCATGGAAGCGCAATTGAAAAATTCAAGTTCGTGCAACATTACTTTAATAAATTTTCTTCACGAATATACTCACAAATTCTTCTCGAAATGAATCAGTTTCTAATTTTTTGTCAAACTCCATAAACTCATCCAGGCTTTTAAATGGCAAATTTAAATTGTTAGAAATAATGAACCCTTTACTTTAGTCGCAATTTGTTCTAACAAACCTCTTTGATAATTTAATTCATTTTGCACTTCATTTAATTGGACACTTAATCCTTTTACTGTGGTGAATAAAAAATTCATTTCTGTAACAATAAAAGGTTTAATAAATTATTGACCACTTACAAAGTGTATTTATAATAAAATAATCAAAACCTAATTTAAAAATAGTTTATATTATATTGTACCTTCTGAAATTTCTTCAACTGAAGATCCTTTTTCGTTGCACTTTGATTTTTTCTTTTTATTTAAAACATTTGAAATTTGAGGTTTTTTGACTACGAAAAAACATAGAAATAAAGTATATGTAAATTCTAATCTATAAATAAATTTATAAATATTGAATTAACTTACGTGAACTATTATATCCTAATGTCACGTTCTTTAAACCCCAGCTTTGTTCCAAAATTTCCAATTCTTCGTCTAGAATTAAACATTTTGTCAAATAAAAATTGTTGGAATTTAGTTAATTAAGTTATTACATGAAAGTAACATAATTTTCAATACAAATTTAATGAAATTTGTATTGAAAACTATTTTACTTTCATATAATAACTTATAATAACATTCCATAAAAGTAATATAGAAATAAAATTACTTAAACCATTATTGAGTTGACTTTCATTTCTAGAATCAATGTCTTCTTCCAATAAATCAAAGTCAGAAGCTGAAAATTCAACAATATTTTCCACAGATTTAAAAACATTTTCAACATTCTTTAATTAACATTAAATATTTATTCAAGATAATGCATAAAAATTGAATAATTTTATTTGAAATCAAATTTATATATGGGACGTTTCACGTCAACCGGCCCAGAGCTCCATCCAAAATTCTAATCAACGAAAATCAACTTATTACGGCTCAAAATAATCGTCAGCTCATACTGCTTCGAATAAAAAGTGGCGAATTAAAAAATTCAAAATGGCGTCTTTACTGTACCATGTTTTGCAAATTTTTTTACTAACTCAGCAAACAAATGTATTAATTACCTTGAGAAAAAAATTGCAACTTGTTGGATAATGGGTCACTCTTATGTTTTTGGGGTCGCTGATTACGAATCTGAAGTCAGATTTAAAAATTTTTCAAAATTCAAGATGGCGGATCCAATATGGCGGACATTTTTATTAAAATTTGATCAGATTCGCTTGAAGCTTGCTACTCGGGGGTTTTTGGGGTCGCTGATTACGAATCTAAAGTCATATTTTAAAAATTTTCAAAATTCAAAATGTCGGATCCAATATGTCGACCATTTTTTTTTAAATAATCAGATTTGCTTGAAACTTATTACTTGGGGGTTTGTGGGGTCGGTGATTACGAATCTAAAGTCATATTTTAAAAATGTTCAAAATTCAAAATGGTGGATCCAATATGGCGACCAAATTTTTTTTTAAAATTATCAGATTTGCTTGAAACTTGTTACTCGGGGATTTTTGGGGTCGGTGATTACGAATTTGAATCTGGATGTTATAAAATAAGATTGGTGGTTCCAAAATAGCTAATAAAATATTTAAAAATTTGATGGATTCGCCACCCTTAACTCCATAAACCACCCCTTTCACATTATTCAATTAGTTGTTTTAAATTTTTCTTCCATACAAATTTAGGCTTCATTTAAAGGATCTTAAATATCATAAAAGTAATTTTTCAAAATATTACTTTTAATCCCCAAATCTACCCCTTAATATAGAAATTTAATATTTTTTAAAATTTACTCTACATAAATCTTTTATAATTTTAGCTAATTTGAGGCTTTTAAATAAATAGCCGTAAATTAAATTTTGAAAAATGTACCCTTAACTCCAAGAACCTCGTCCTTTAAATATTTAAATTACTTATTTAAAATTTTTCCTTTCCTTTATAAAAATTTTTTCTATATCGTTTTTTACAATTTAAGCACAACTGAAACTTTCAAATATTCTCAAATTGAATTTCAAAAACTGTCCTTAACTCTAAAAACCTTAACCATAAAAATCAGCCTCATTACATTTAAGTTTATAAATGCAAACAAATTTTACAATTTCATCCGCCATATTGGCTCCACCATTTTGAATTTTTAACAACTTTTACATCAGAATCGTGATCTGTGACCTGATTTTTAAAAGTTGACGTAAGATTCGTGATCATCGA